CTATGAAATCAACATTATGTTCATGACGGTTAAACAATTTCATCTGGTACAATCATCATCAATTACATAAATATAATACACTAAGTAAGACGACCATCATGGACACATATAGAAACTCCGGACTGCTGCCAATATTTACTCATTCTTTAATATTGTTGAATATCTACTCATCTCATGTGATGTTATTAGCTTTGTATATAGGTATAATCACAGCCATGAATAAGCAAAAAATGATAATTCATCCCAAAAGGCAATATGTCATAAATCATACAAAAGTACATATTAACATCGTTTTTAGCTATTTCTTGTTTCAAAATTTTATCAGGAGTATTTTGTGTACGTGGTTTTATTAAGTATTACTTCTGGCGGGAGATATACATGAACACCCAGGGCCTGAATCTACCAGCTCACAACAATAAGCATATCACATCACTTATCATTTGTCCACCTAAATTTACAAAGCATACGACATAAACTTGACATTCTTTATTGCGAACTTGTTGACTTTGATATTCTTGCCTTCTCTGAAACATGGCTGAACAAAACAATATCGTCTGATGATCTTAAACTCTTATCTTACAATACTCCTGAACGAAAAGATCGGATTGATGATTCTCATGGATTCTCATCCTCTATGTTCGTGAAAATCTGCATTATAAGAGACATGTTAATGTGCACTTTGTAAAAGGCTTGTTAGTTAATCTAATTATCACTCAAGGTCCAGCGTACGAGGCTTATGAGGCTCTACGTTTAATGTACATAATTACTCCAATTTCACTTTCCAATGTTTTGGAAAATATGTAACCTTAAATGTTATTCTATTTCTAATGCACTGTAGTATTAATATATTTTATACCTCTATGCATGAAATCAAGCAGCTCGATCACTGCCTCCGTATTCTGATCCATATAAATGTACAGTTGCAGACAGTTAACGACAAATATCTTTTATTGAATGATTATGATTATGTTCTCAACATGAAAACGCAAAAATGTCTCTTATTAACAAGAAGATCTCGAAAATGTACATGAAACTTAATTTATCCGTACTAAACAGTGGTGGACCGTACCATTCCGTACCGTTTCGTAATGCAACGCAATGAACCGTATAAGACCGTGCTAATCCTTGCCTCTCCGTAGTACAACGTATTACAATCGTGGCTTTCCGTGACAATGCCGTATTAATCCGTATTAAAACCGTAGCTTATACGTAGGGTAACCGTACAAATACGTAGTTCTCCGTATCAAACCGTGGAAATCCTTGACAAGTTGGGGCCTACGAATCAATACGGACTAGTACGTTTTCGTACGGACCAGTGCGTATCAGTACGGTTTAATACGGACTAGTAGGGATACGCTACGGTTGATTTTTCCGTAGCAAATGTTTGTGCATGTTCAAAAATTGTCAAGGTTCGCCACGGATATACAAGGACTACTACGATTGATTACGGTTACACTACGGAGAGCTACTGACCAGTACGGGTAGCTACGGACGATGCCGGAATTAATCCGTGGCTCTTACGTGGTCGTTTTCCGTGAATATGTGACCGGGGTATAAACAGCATCGTAATAGCTGGTGTTGGTAAACACTGTCTCAACCAAAAACATCGATTCCATCTCCCAGTTTTTTGTGTTCTCAAATTTAGAAAACCCTCTCAACGTGGATTTCAACGAACTATCGGGGTGACTTTGATCAACTCCGACAAGATCTACTAAATTATAACTGGCATACATGCACTCACGCAGATATAGACACATATGCTGACAATATAACAAATCAGATCATAAATAATGCAAAAATTAATATACCAAATAAACAAATACATGTAAGACCATCAGAGGCTCCATGGATGACTAGCACAGTAAGAAGCCACATTAGAAAACGAAAACGCATTTACAGAAAAGCAAAACAAACACAGTCATTACGTCATTGGCAAAAATTCCGATAAATAAGAAATGAAACTATTTTATTAGTTCGCGAAGCAAAATTAAATTATCATTGCAAATTATCGGATAAACTCAAAAGAGGATCATTATCGTCTAAAGACTGTTGGAAAACGTTAAAATCATTTATATCATCACAACAAATAACTCCAATACCCCCATTACAAAATCCTAAAACACTCGAACTAAACTTTACAGATGAAAACAAAGCAAATTTATTAAACGACTATTTTAATAAACAAACACTCATTGAAGATTCAAATAAGTATGTACCTGATCTTGGTCCATCAATGACAACAACTTCACTATCTGAACTTACACTAAACTGAAACAGAAAAAGTCCTAAGATAAGCATCCGGTCCGGATGGTATCAGTAATAGAATTCTTTGCGAAGCGTCACATGAACTCTCTCAACCTCTTTGTGACTTGTTTAATGTCTCACTTCTTTGTCGTAAAATACCATCGACATGGAAAATAGCTCATGTATCTGCAATTTTTAAAGGAGGTGACTCCTCTCTTCCAAATAAGTACCGCCTAATCTCTCTTCTTAATACAATGGAAAAAGTTTTGTGCGGCTAATATTCAAACATCCTTTAAAACATCTCCAACTTGTTTTTATCTATGATACACTGTGCAAAGCACTTGACAATGGTCTAAAAGCACGGGTTATTTATTTATTTTTTTTGATATCAGTAAAGCATTCGATAAAGTTTGGCATAAAGGTATCCTTTCAAAACTCAAACATGCAGGTGTTTCCGGCAGCCTTCTCAAATGGTTTACTAGCTATCTCACTAATAGGCGTCAACGTGTAGTTATATCTAATTCAAAATCATCTTGGGGTACTCTTTCAGCTGTAGTACCACAAGGTTCTAATCTTGGCCCTCTTCTCTTTCTAATTTTTATAAATGATATTGTTCTAGATCTCCAATCAACTGTCAACATTTTTTCTGATTATACAAGTCTCTATATTATTATAGAAAATCCACAAATTGCAGCTCAACAGTTGCAAACTGATATACATACAATCACAACATGGGCAGACAAGTGGCTTGTCACATTCAACCCATCAAAGACAGAATCACTCATTGTATCTAGGAAAAATCACGCAAACCATCCTTCTTTATATATGCTCAATCACAATATACCAGAAGTTAGTGATCATAAACACCTAGGATTTTTTTTCTTTCTTATAACTGTAATTGGCATTCACAAATTGAATTTATAACCGAAAAGGCTTCGAAACGCGTCAATATAATGCGAACGTTGAAAACATTTTTGGACAGAAAATCTCTTGAGATAATTTACACTTCATTCATTCGTCCTATTCTTGAATACGCAGACGTCATTTGGGGAAATGCTTTTCAATATGAACTCGAAAGCTTAGATAAGATTCAGAATGAATGTGCTAGGATTGCTTCAGGTCCGACAAGATTAGTTTCTATCGAATACCTAATTAAAGAACTTAATTGGGAAACATAAGAACAAAGACGGTATAATCACCGATTATTTCTGTTTTATAAAATGCAAAACAATTTGACTCCCGACTTTCTCTCTTCCTTAATTCCTGATCAAACTAATACAAGGTGTAATGTACGTAACTCCGATAATACTGCTGGAATATTATGCGCGAACTTCTTTATACTACAACTCCTTTCTTCCCTCTACTATACGCGATTGGAACAACTTACCAACCGAAGTTCGGAACTTACCAACACTTTCATCATTCAAAACCTTCTTAACACGTAACACGAAACGCAAACCTAAATACTACTAATCTGGTAACAAAAAATTACAGGTTCCCATACACGTCTTCGATCAAAATGCAGTTCTTTAAATTATCATCTTTTTCTAAGAAACATATCTCCCTCACCTTTATGTGAATGTGGCCAAGTCGAAATCAACTATCACTCCTTCTTTGAATGTTATCGCTACAATTTGTACCGAAATAAATTATTTATTAATATTAAAGCTTTTGATATCAATCTCGATATTCTTCTCTTCGGAAACCCTGGCCTATCAGATGATGATAATTCAACAATATTCTCTAACGTGCAGTCTTTAATAGCAAAAACTAAAAGATTCCTTTAACGATTTGTATCATAGTTTGGAGACCTTTCTGTTGGAAATGTGTCAGGGTTAAATCGTATACATATACATGCACAGTGCAGTAACTGGAGTGCGGGTATGAGTTACTCCAGAGCATGCCCATTGATTGGATCATTTTTGCTGGGGTTTACATATTGTGACGGCAAAGAAAGGGAAAGCGACAGAAATGTCACATTCAGATGTTCGTTCATTGGTTCGTTTTTGCCGGGGTTTCATATTGTGACAACAGGGAACGTGCTTTTATGTTTGACTATGATACAAATGAGAAAGAACACCAAAACACTCGGCAATCTGATTAATACTCGGGGGCTACGCCCCCTCGTACAAATCAGATAGCCTCGTGTTTCGGTGCTCTTTCTATTACTTAACACATACCAAATAATTATGAGACTCTCCTTCCCCTTTTTCTCTTTTGTGAATTACTACTTCTTTCATACTCCATATATATTTTGTTTCTATCATAGTATGGTTATATATATTTTTCTCAGAAAATTTTACATCACCAGTTCGACACCGAAATATTTAACAACTAAAAGGAGAAGAATTCTATAAGACCTAGTCTTTCGTTCTATTCCTCTTCTTTGAATATTGTCAAATTTTATATGTGTATATATTTTAAATGTTATTATGTACATATTCTGAGAATAAATATGTTTAAACTAAACTAACCTATTACTATGAGGAAATATTCTACTAGTATATTATGAAATTTGCATTATCAATATTCCAAACTGCAATATTTTTAACCCCCTGGTCATTTTGTATTAAGGGTATATCGCTTTATGGGGGCCTTCATTCCACAATGCAGGGTCTCTCAACATAAATTGTTGCTGTCATTTCAAGAAAGCAATTTCCACTATGAATTTTATTCAAAATGACAAAGGTGTAGAGATGTACTTGTTAAAATTAAAATAAAATATCACGAATTGGTCTCCATTCATTTTTTTACAGTTAAAAGAAAGCGAAATGACACTGACATTATTTGAAGACGCACAAAAAGCGATGAGAATTAAAAGGACAGCTATATACTACGACTTTGAACAGTATCTTTGTGACAATGATCTAGAGCAACTGAAAACAATATTAAAATTTGCAGAACAAGTCACGACGATTACGGATAGCCAACAGGATATCAAAGCAAATGATGTAGATTTTCAAAAATTAGAAGAACGGTTAAAAGAAAAATCCAAAGTATTGCAAGAGGACATTGCTAACATCAATACTAAATTTCGTTATTCAGAAGACAGGGTAAACGTTTTTAAAACACAAAATATAGAAAAGCAAGAAGAAATTACTAGCAACAATGCCAAAATTCGGATTTTAGAAGATAAACTGCATAACGAAATTGCAAACAAAAATGACACAATTTCGGATTTAAAAGAAAGGATTAATGACAGAACAAATATAAATGGTATACTGCAAAAAGAACTTGCCAACAACAAAGAAGTAATTCGGGTTTTAGAAGATAAATTGAACATAAAAGAAGAACAAATTAATGGACTGCAAGAAGAAATTTTAAAAAACAAAGACACAATTACCAACATTTTGCAGCTAAAAAAGAACAGGGAAATTGATAGTTTGAAATTAAAAATATTTGCTACAGCGTGTCTAGCTGCTGTAATATCAGTGGTTTATTTAGGTTTAAGAAAAAGCTAAAATATTTATTTAAATAGAAACGAACGAACCCAGTTCTGTAACAATTTTCAAGAATTTAAACATAGTAACTTAGTTAAAACATTTACTTTTTGAGTCTTTTATTGAGTCTAGTGTAGAATACTGTTGCTTGCTATAGCGACTAAACTTACTGTTGAATAAGCTTTTCTTTTCAGATGTTGATATTATTGACTGTTTTAAAATATGTATAATAATTACATTTCCATATCATGGTGTGAATAAAATGCTCCGACTTTGTGATTGTTTATACTTTCTCATTGTAAAAGATTTCGATTGGAAGTAATATTTACAATAATTATATTTTCAAAATATCTAAATGTCAGTAGGCGATTTCATACTGAAGTTTATTTATTCATCAAACATATATAAACATGTAATTTTCCAACGAATTCTTGAGGTGTTCCTGGAGAAATAAAACCATCTAACAGTATTGTACTAGAAACGCATTGATGCAAAGCATCAAATGCGACGCCAAATTATATTTGATCAAGACTTGCTTCTATAAACTTAACAGAAGATGTGGACTTTATATCAGTATCATTACATGTGACCTGAAGGATAGGACCCTGTTTAAGTTGAAACTTGGACCCAAAATGCTTTTCCTGCCAATATGCAAAGGCAATTTATAGTCAATTAACCAATAACTAATAAGACTCATGCCATAAGAGAGAATTTCTTCAGATTTATTTTACCAGATACAAGGATACTAGAGTCATCAGCATATGACAAAAGCTTATTGCTTATGATTGCAGACATGTCATTGACATAGATTAGAAATACAAAGCCATCAGAGAGGACATATGTCGCCTCATAATAGCCAATTGCATGTTGCAGCTACTGTATAGCAAGAGACACACAAAAATCATTAACACAGCAAAACATTTTTTCAAGGGACATAACGCTGTTACAAATCCTTAGACCCAAAAACCTAAGTAATATACGCAAGTACTTACGCTACCGATCAATCCTGTAAAGTTACATTTAAATTCCATTTATGGTATGCATTCGGCACGATATGGCCAGTTATGTGTTGACGTGCCGTAAAAATCCAAACAAACAAACAAACAAACAAAATTAATGGTATAAGAGGAGTAGACCGGTCAAATTTTATTAACACCTTTTTTGAAGTGCCATAACTTCGTCAAATATCATTAAACCGAAACACTCGTGTAATCAGTCCTGTAAAATTTAGTGAAAATGCTTAAGTGGCATAAGAAAAGAAGTCCGAACAAACTTAAAAAATAAAATTCATTAAAATGGTCTTTAAACCCCAATCAAAAATTTTTTTAAACCGGATAATGGAACGTTTAGGGTACAAAAAAGATTGGAAATGCCCCCTTTCCCTTGTAAATTGGGGTGAAAAGGGCCCCTTAAAAAAACTCAAAAATCTTTAAACCCCAAAAAACCCGGGTTTTATATCGCAATACTTGAGCTACAGAATTAATTTTGGGTAAAAAAAGGTAGTCTGAAAAATTTTTTAAAAAAAAAAACCCTTTAAAAAGGGCCCAATTACTCTGAAAAAAAAATCTTTTGAACCAAAAAAAATCCCGGGACAATTTTGCAGTTTTTTAAAGGATTTAGTCCGGAAAAGTTTTTTTTGAGGGGAAGGGAAAACAGACAAACTGACGACGCAGAAGGCCCCCAAATTTTCCCCACTTTCCCGTGGGGGTGAAAAAAAAGATTTTTTTTAAATTTTTTTTAAAGGGTTTTTAAATTGTGTTACCCGGGTTTTTTTTAACTTTCAAAATTAAAAGAAACAGAAATTACGGGGACTTCCCTTAAACTTTAAATTTGATTCATTATTACAAAAACACTTTAACACTAAATTGCAGGTTTTGTTGGTTTTTTGTTTTTTCCCATTTAAATAGAGGCGTTTTAAAAGTTTTTTACATACAGTAGGGGGGCCCTTTAAGAAATTTGACACCTTCCTATCATTGGGTTTTCCCAAAAAAGGGGTTTATTTCCCAGTTATACGGGGGGATTCGAAATTTTGTTTTCAAAAAAAAGATAAAAGGGTTTTCCCTTGGAAATAAAAGTTCATATATCATTTACCTTTAAAAGGCAAACTGGTTTTTATACTAAAATTTAATTTTTTTTGCTATATGTTAGGTTTAACCAAAATTAAGGTTAGCTTTCCGAAGAAAACCCCCTGCTTTTGGCAAATTAACATAAAAATATTTTGGAAAATAATGTTGATAGTCGAGTCATTAACTTGGGGCCACAAAGCATTTTTTTTTCAAAAATGAAAGTTACCATGTTGGGCCTGTAAAAAACGGGAATACCGGGTTTAAGATTTTTCTTCGCTTTCCCTAAATGGATACTTCGCGAGTTTAAAATTAAATAAAAGTTTACCCTTTAACTGTTTCTTTTAATAAAACAAAAATGTTCCCGGGAAGTTTTTTTCTGCTTTTTTTTCGGTTTCCCATTCCCATAAAAACTCTAATTCTCTTTCCCTAACTATACCCTATTCCTTTAACTCCCCTTCCAATCTTACTTGTACAATTCTTTATTCATGTGTGGTATTGTTTTGGGACATTGGTTGTGACCATGAATCATTCAAATTAACACTTTCTTGCTATTCCGGCGGCGTAAGATACCCGAGTTAGATAATATGCGTTGATCCAAATAGGGAAACCAATTGGCGGAACACATAAAATGCAATCTTGTGAAAAGATAAAAGGTAACGGTGTGTAATAGACAGATTAAAACAATTACAAACAGACAATATATATTTCATCATCCATGGGTATGTATGTTCCATTAAGTATAATCAAATGAGAATACCCACAAAAATAATGTAAAAAAGGGAACATCTTCAGCAAAATGTGAAAATTTACTACAACCACTTTGATCGTAATTTCTGTGGGTAAGGTAAAGTTGTAAATAGAAAAAATCAAACCCTAGGGAATATAACAGTGTCAAAAACAGATCAGTCTGATTTTCTTTCATAATATATCCATTTAGACAATCATGTGCAGTTGGTGTTGTACACATCCTTTAAATAATGGAAAATAATGGATTCGTTAAACATTTTATATTTTCCAATAAGGTGTCAGATAAATGTGCGTTTGTATCATCTTCGACCTAAAGTACACAATAAGAACCCAAAGTAGTGCTTCAAACTTGTTTTAAACAAGAGACGGCATCGACGTTATAAAACAAGGAATGGCAACGAATACCAAAAGCAATACTCGAGAACTCGGTCATTTTTCCGATCGAGAACTCAGTTACTCGGAAGATTTTTAATGATCAGACAATATCAATACCGTTTACATGCTACTTTCGTTTTCTATTTAAATTAATAGAATTCGTCAATATAAATAGGGCTGCAAGGGAGGTGACTTAGAATAACCAATAAACAAATTAATTAAATTTAAATCAACAACATTATATTTTACAACATCTTAATTAATGCAACATCAAATTTAAAACATGTATAGCAGTTCATATGTAGTATCATTTTTTTCTTCTTGAAATAATATACTAGAAGACTGAACGGCGGCCATGGATATAACTAGTAAATACATGATAGTTATAAACATAAGAGTTAGTCAATGACAGTATAAATTTATTTTTTATGGTAACAAATAAAGGTATAACAGATCAATAACAATATTCTAGTATTTTTCTCTAAGTAAAGTGTCTTACTTCATCTTAACATCTTAAGGTCGTTCATGCATGCACGTCACAGCACTACGCTGTTCCTTAGTCTACACATCAGTTTTTTTTTTTCAATATTACGGGTCAATATTTATTAACACTGTATTTATTGAGGGCAATCATCTTGTCTACAAGTTCATAATTATGAAAGTCTGTTTCTTAGTTTATTTACAAGTTACCCAGCAGCAGAAAAATCTGACGGCACTGATGTTGCGGGTACCACTAGCACCTGTTTCGTAATTTCGGCGATTCTCGGAAAGTTCTTTACATTTTTTTTCAACCTGTTGAGTGGTTCTGAATCACATTTGCTTGAAAAACAGCGTTCAAGTTAATTGTTAGTTTTGTCACATTTTTCTGTTATATAGCACATTAAAATTCAAAGCACTCTCCTTTTTTAGATGACACACTGTCACTTTCACTCTGCGCGCGAGAAGGTAATTTTAGTTAAATTTCATCCAAGCACGATTCAAGAGCTTCAATAGTAATTTTACGTTGCTCACTTTTAAAGAAAGATAAACGTTGTAACGCGGATCACGAATAGTGGAAAGCGTAGCTGTAGAGTAAAAAAACTAGGTAGATTATGGCTGATTACGTCTTTCAAATTCTCCCGCGATTGTTTACTTCATTTTTTAACTAACTGCGAATCACTGTTTTTTATTTTCACACTGGTATTCAAATGGATACATCTGAGAGCAAGAGAATTTGTCTCTGTGGTTACTGCGATAAAGTTCTTCAATATTTCCTTGAGATCAAGGATAGCATCCCACTAGTGATCGTTTAGCAGTAAATAGCTCTCACTTTTCTTTGTAAACTTATCGTGTAACATAATATCCGTTATTCACACAGTCTCTCTAACATGAGTTGCGTATAATCCCATCGATTGGAACATCTTGAATAAGTTCATTCTCAGGAACATTGATAACTTTCTGTCTAATTCTCATCTCTGCTGTTGAGGTTGTGTAATTTTCAAAGTGTCCGACGAGTTTATCTGTGATACGCAGGCTTCATAACCTCTGATCCCCTTTCAAAATTCCATTTTATTTAGTTCCGCCCATTGTTTTCTTGTTTAGGGCACACGCTTTTTATTACTTGGGGACCATACGCCGCTTTTCATGGAATGGCACGGAAGTGTCACATTGAAGGTTCCATGATAACCGCCGTATGAACACATCTGCGGATGTTTCTAAATTCAAAATTTAAGTATTTCACGTTTAAATGTTGAATTCTGCTTAAGCCGGTGCTAGGGGGCGTGGACGGTGACTTGCACTTTCCAGTACCGTCCATGAAGAGGCTCAATCAAACCGAGCCTGCAACATTTTCAATTTTGCCGTGTTGGGCTTTCTTTAGGGATTCTGTATTTATCTATTTTCTACTTAGCCACTATTTTACTAACATTTAGCAATTTAAGTGCGGGTGTATTTTTTAGCTCTGTCTCGTATCTTAGGATTATCATTGTCCAACATACATTCTGTGCTGTTTTCTAACAAGTCAAATGCTCCGATTTGAGTATGAGTTCGAAAATAAATCTGTATGATATTTGACCCATTAAATAAATGTGCAATTATTATTAAATTTTGAAAACTAGCATCCAAAAAACATGCGCACTTAAGGAAAGAAGATGACCATGTAAAACAAAACTGACAGAAAAGAAAATCATGTAAACAAGAATTACATAATGGCAGTTGCTACTTGTATCTCGAATTTCGTTTATCTCGAAGTTAAATACCCGGTCCCTTGAAATCCAAAAAAAAAAACAACAAGAATAAACTGTATTAGATTTTAGAAGTGTATTAGGTTAACGCATAGGAACAAAATCTTTGAAATAACTCAATTCAGTTATCTGTATGTTTATGATATACCACAAGGACACTATTTGTCACCGTACCAATTTAAAGAGTAGTGCTATTAAAAGTTCATAGTTCATAAAATATGGTCGTGTTCAAACTAGTATCTTACAGAAAGTCCTGAACATTTTCAAATAAGGAAGGACAAATCAATTTCAAACGAGTTTATAATCCTGCGCAATTATTTTCCTTTGTTAGGAAAAGAACAATACGCAGAAAATGTGCACTTTCCATGTACATGTATATTATATTGGATATTTTTCAAACATCACGTTGCATTGAAATAAAATGATAACATAAATAATGTTTTTATTCACGGTTTGAAAAAAATGGCATTTGTTTATGAATATTGCACCTTCTGTGGCACAAAAACAAACAAACAAACAAACAAAACGCAACAACAACAGAACACAATTTTACGCATTAATTGTGTAGTAATATTGACTTAACTCTTCAAACGCGTGTGAAAAACTCCTCTAAATAGTTTAAGAATATATGTTTACAAACGATGTCATTATAACGTTCTTTGGGTGTATCCGATTGTACCTTATATATCAGTTTCTCTTTCGTTAAACTAACATTTCTGAGATTACGTCATAGTGAAGAAGATACAAGTAGTCTGTATTAGCAATACTTTACATTGGAACTTTCTTATTGATTTGGTATGCAATAAAATAAACACTGAAATAACCCTTTGTAACGCATTCTTTTACTGGTGATATGTAAATTTTATTTTATAATAAGTACAGTCTTCGAATATTGGACTATAATTTCACTCGTTGGGGTAAGGATAACGAAATCTACTTTAAAATTTTACAAACGAATAAAACAAATTTTATATCTTTTCTTCGACTTTGTTCTGTTACCAAAGATTTCACCATTTTTATTAAATTTTCAAACAAAATCAACATATAACGAAAACGAATTATTTTTGTTTGACCTTAAGTATTCAAGAAGTGATATCTTTATAGTTTCTGAGCAGGTAATTTTAACATGGAATTAACCAGGTATCATTTATTAACACGTATATGATAACGTGATCTTAAAAATCAAAATCTTACTGAATCAGTAATTAGTGAAAGTGAATTCTTTTGTACACGGCTAATATATCCCCGTTAAACACGTCCAATTAAATATCGTAAACATGGGAAGTTTTATGATTTAAACACGAGAATATTCATACTTTAAACATTTGAATGTTTCATACTGGAAACACGTGTAGCTTCATATTCTTACACCTGTAGTTTCATATTTTAAACACGTGTAGCTTCATATATCAAACACGTATAGCTTTATATTTTAAACACAGCTACTTTATCGATTAAACTAATATTTCCTGTTGTAAAATTTCAAAAACGCTAATGTATAATTATTTGGTACAGGATACCATTTATCCGACAGAATGACTTAAGGAATGAAAACATTCAATGCACATAAAGGTGCGGTCTACCGTTATTGAGTAAATATCAAATAAGAAATATTTAAACTATAATAAAAAAAGTATAAAAATACCTACTTAAGTTTTGCTTTTATTACATAACTTGATTGCTTTTCTTGTTGATTCGAAACCGTTATAGTATTAATACTATAATGTCAATGTGGTATGTAAGATGTGGCAAAGCTTGTTATGGAACATATTGTTCAGAAAGTTTAGAAAATTCTGTACTTTGAATATATTATTCAATTTGATTGTTAATTAATTCGCTTATTGACTGTTCCGTGGGATGTACAAGTGATTTTATTCTCTTTTTACCGGGCATTAACAGATTCGTGTGAATTGAAATAAAACTAAGAAAAGTTTCATTTGAAGTAACATTAATTGATATATGTAATATAATATTTTTAAGCGCTATGTTTTCATATCTACTCTAACTTTGGTAATGCAAAGAAACAAGAAACATTTAGAAAGATGAAGTTTTTCATTTCAACCATATAACGACAAAAGTATAATACGAAAACGTTTAAAGTCGTAAGTTGTATAACAAATCTTTAATTGCACATATAATTATAGCGGGAAAAAAGTAATTCCAAATAAAGTTTTGCACTGTATAGTATTAATATGTTGATATTTTGTTCAAAACAACTAGTCACTATATCATTTTGAAGGGCATTAATCAATGCTATAGAACTTATATCAGTGAGTGAATTCACTAAATTATTGAAAAAGAAAAGATGTGTTTTCACTAAATACACATATGGCATACGTCTGTCCATTATATATAGGGTCAGAACTGCTTTTAAGTTTTTTTTATATAAGGAAGCAGCATAACTTTCGCCAGCACTATCAAGAATAATCGAAATATACAAAGTGATAGCCTGATGAATTTCAACGCTTTCCATGTAAATGTTTAATTTCCATTGAACATTTTTTTGATATCTATTTTTATTATTCAATATATACTTCCCGCATTATGCACATGTTATCAATAAAACAGATTTATTTTGACTGAAACTCCTCTCTCACCTTACAGCTTTAAATGCATTAATACTTTATACAATAAAGTGTTGAGGTCTGGGTTATTTTTGTAAGAGCAATTCACTCTCAAACCACAAACATTGAATTATTACAGAAATCGCTGTTTTTAAGCATGACATTATTCCATGTTTACGATGTAGACTCATAGTCACAAATTTAAAAGGGGCGTCCGTGGCCGAGTGGTTAATGTCGTTGACATCAAACCACTTGCCCCTCACATCAGTGGGTTCGAATCCCGACAGGGACTTTGGATTCTTTCATGTTAGGAAGCTATCCAGCTAGCTTACGGAACGTCGGTGGTTCTACTCAGGTACCCGTTCATGCCTGAAATAATGCACGGAAGGGCACCTGCGGTCTTCCTCTACCAGTAAAGCTGGAACGTCGCCATATGACATATACTGTGATGTGACGTAAAACCCAAAACAAACAAAAACAAACAAATGGATAAAATTTCTACAAAAGACATGTTAACAACAAGAGACGCGTTCAAAAAGGAACATATAAAATATAAGGAAAAATTTCTTTAAAAAAATCAGTTATAGTCTGCTTAAGAAGCGTTATGTAAGTAAATGAACTGGACAGTTCACCCATATTGCACTTTTAATTCGTTTATCTCTGTTGTCATGGATATCAACTATTTTTCTTTCTTCCCAACAACACTTTCTCTAGTCCCATCATTGGAGATTCAAACGCAAGAGAAATAACAAACGCTGCAGCATACGATACACATAAGTGGCCCAGGAAAATGTATATCTAAAATGAGAATACAAATTTCTTAATGCCAGGTTTTACGTCAAACATATAAGAGAGGTTCAATTGTTAATATAGAGGATATTGAAAAAGTCGAGATTTAATACTAAATTCATTGAAAGTTAAATAAAATGTTATGCGAGCCTTTGGCGAGCATAATGTTGTTTTATTAAACGAGTTCAAGAAATTAAGTTTATGATATACCTAAGTACTATAAGTCACATATTTAAAATACAAACAGTTAAATTTTTGGTTGACGCGCCTATAGCTATGTCTGTATATATCGCATATGAAAGTCACGTAAAAGTGTTATTGCATTAATGTAATATCGTTTATATTAAATGGGTTTATCACGTTGCTTGTGTGATAAAGTGTATTAACAATCTACTGCAATACTAATTGTACAACTATCTTTGAAAATATTTATGCTTGTTATATTTCTATCAAAGTATAATATAGTATGTATCTTTAGGAAAATGGGAGTTACGTTACATCCAACAATCAAGGTATACGATAATTTCTATTATAAAGAATTTTTATTTTGGACTTACCATTTCAAAATCGTACCATCTCATCAAGGTTCTTTTGCTAGAATAATACGCATACATCACGAGCGGATGTACTAGATATGCGCAATACGTCAGGCGGCTCAGTGGAATAATTGCACGCCATGACAATAAATTATAAACAGGGCCTGGAAATAAAAAAAGATAAGATTTCAATAGAAAATACTTCCAAGGATATTTAAAGTAAAAAATATCAGACTCTAATCTTATAACAGCTGTCATTATTGCTAAATTTTGAAACATTGTTCTATAACGAGACTTGATATAATTTGCTCCCAATCGGTAAAGTCTCAATGCATCTGAAAAAATTAACACATTTAGAAACCATTGATTATTTCAAAATGAACACATTACCAAACTACTAACCGTGCTACACAGGCGAATCATATTGAGAAAAAAACAAAGAATATTTCAGCCTTTTTATAGTAAAATGTTGTTTGTTTGTTTGATTGATTTGGTTTTTCGTCACACCGACACAGATTTTCTGGTGGAGATGGACCTCATGTGCCCTTTCATGCATTATTTCAGGCACGAACGGGTACCTGAGTAGAACCACAGACGTTCCGTAAACCAAATTAATAGCATCCTCACATGAAAGAACCCCTGTCCTTGTCGGTATTTACAACCGTGCGGCCAAGTGTATTGAAGTCAACGACCATACCAACTCGACCACGAAAGGCCATGAATATTATAAACGCAAGTGTTTTGTGCTGCAAATTAATATTATTTAAATTCCATTATCTAGAGAAATTTGAAATTAAAAATTCCCTTAATTTATAAATATGTTTCTAACATAGAGATTTTATCTTTTATACCTCCATATCCACTGGCACACGCGAAAATTACCCAAGCAACACACATTCCCCATGCAGTTCTTGACGTGGCATTATAGAATGCCGACGTATCATCGTTGAGAATGTTTGTACCATCTGGTGAGTACAAGCCGTATAAAACTAGCATAGCGATTACTGTAGCAACAATCCAGCCGACAACATTTAATATCTAAAATAATATGAGAAAAACACCAATATCGACAATTATATTAAAACAGAGAAAAACAAAATCCCTAAAGAAAGCCAATCATAGCAAATTGTACAATGTTGCAGGCTCGGTTTGATTGAGCCTGTTCATGGACGGCACTGGAAAATGCGAGTTACGGTCCACGCCCACAAGCACCAACTCAAGCAGAATTCAATATCTTAACACAAAAATGGTGAAATTTATACTAAAGACCCATAATGGCGCAAAAATGTTTTTTTCTTATTTCTCCAACGTTTTTTTTTTTGTGTTTGTTCCTCTAGTTTTTCATACCAATTATGAACCATACTTGGTTGTGTTACGAACATTAACAATTTAAAACTTGGGTCGTATTTTATTCAATCATACTATATTTCCCATATTTCTCGTCAGCAACTTGTAAAACCAATGATATTAACGGTTGATTAACAATATAAATCCCTCCAAGCGGCTCGGGCTATTGAAATTTTTAACCAGTTACTGAACGTGTCAAAAGTTTTTTCAACTAAATTAAATAATGTACATGCTGGAAATGGATAAACAACCATGTTGTTCTTATGTTGATAAAATTATTGTTATAACAACAATGTTGTTTCTACGAGTATAAAAAATAAAGTTATAAATACAATAAGCAATTTTGTACCTATGCAATTTTAGACAAACGATGAAGTTTAATATGGACTAATCTAAACAAGAATATAAAAGAAACCACAAACCTGCGACATTTTGACCTTGCACTTTGTAATATGTAGAAGATATCCGGTGAAGAAACCGACGACGTATGGTCCTATACGGGTCCAAGGTTTGAAATATAAATCTTCCATCGCCTTATTTCCACTGTTAAATACCAAATGCAAGAACATGTGATTACTAATATGTAAGAAAAGCATCTCAAATGTAAGGCAACAGTACATGCTTTGCAAAATGGGAATTTTATTACGTCATACAACGTCCGTGCTCAAATGAGACGTGCATTGACCGTATCGATATTCCTCATTGCGTTTTTGTTTCTCGTAGAGTGCAGTCGTAATTCTACAGTAGCTGACCAATCGGTGAGGGTCACAGTGTGTAAAAGTCATATATAACGAAATTTGAAAATGTGTAATCGTGTACATTGTTTCCTATTGTGGTTCGCATCTAACACATTTTCTTCCTTTTTTAGTATTTTGCATATTATTCACTCAGTGTGTCATGCACTTATATCGGTCGCATAATACGATATATGAACAAAACAGATCGAAACAACAACTACGCATAGTTTCTAAGTATATAGTTATATAAAAAAGCTAAATAATTATTGCTTATTATGTTATATCATGCTATACAATAATATGCTATAAGTATAACATTCAAACAACGAAAAGTGTTTCATTTTGTTAATGTGCACTCGCATATAGCCCATAAATAAATCTGCTGAAATCTTATTTGAAAAAGAGGTATACATTGTACCAATGTTCTAACGAATTTATCAAGCGGACTGTAAATACTTTGTGTGTGGATGATGGATAAGGAGTGGATATATGTTCTCTAGTTAAATCAATTTACTATCATGACATTTTATACATTCATTTATAATAACATTGCAGTAACTGTAGTAAAATGTACTCATGAGCAATCAAAAGAAATAATGTAGGCTTCTAATTCAAGCTACTAATATTCCTTAATGAAAATAAAAAGCAGTGACCCATGTGTTACAATTTTCTTAATTAATATAATTATGGCTATAAATCAGACAAATTCTGATATTAAAAAGTTGTATTTTGAAAGGTTTGTGCTGACATTTCTATGTAAAACATGCTTTTGTAATTTATAGGAATTTCATTAATCATTTATTGAAATCAAATTAAATTCCATGAAGGTCTGTCTCATATATTTTTGAGGAAACAGTACTAAAATTAAACTGTCATTTCAATTTATACAGCTATTCTTTTGTATTGTTAATTATTTAAAAAAAACAGCAAAATTTGATTATTGCTAAATTATATTTTAGAAGTAAATAAAATCACTGTTTGGAGGTCCGATGCGAGTAATTATATCACGCGGGTGAAGCCCGAGTCATGTATTGATGCGCATTCAAACGACAAACAGTGATTCTATCAAGCGATAAAATCACTTATTTGAATATATTATTTCTGTTCTAACACGCCGTCAACAAATAAATACTGCTGTATCTGATATCAAGCTAAATTGCGCCTGATTTGTTTCGTTCTTATTTTTTGGCGTGTCGCATTTTGAATTGTTACGTCGCATGTATAATGGTTAGGTAGAGAACGGCCACAATGATTTATCGCATAATAACACAAACACTTTCTTTCCTTGTATGTTCAATAGAGAAAAATGAGGGTGTGTTAGAATTGCTAGTAATTTCATTCGACTGATGTTTTGATTCGGACACAGATCCTCAAATACTCTTTTGAAAATTTAGCATTTTATTATACCCGTTAAAATGATAAAGTTCAATTGTATAATATAAAATAACTTTATGTAACTGTTTTTCCAACATTATACTAGTTAACAATTAGGCATAGGAAGTTTATTTATATTTGATCTTTCATTTATAATTGCCGACGGATTTTGGCATCATATCAACCGAGATTGATAAGCATCATTATATCACATAAGGCAAAATGTATGTTTGTAATAAACAATCATTATTACAACGGTACTTGAAACAATTATTAATACAGATGGATTATTCAATTTGTGTCATATTATAAAATACTTCCTTTACACACCAGGTAATAAGCGGTAATGAATGATTTATCTTCGTACCTGTAAAAATGCCTAGTATCTCATGTTGCCTACACTATTGAATAATTATCGGATACATTGGCATCATAATGCAGATAACTGATAAACAGCATATTCCGTTGACATCTTCCTAGTTTTCATTAAAGCAGGCCATTAGTTAAATTTCACTAGCGTTTGTGAGATTTTCCCTATAAACAAATATTGATAGCCAAATCTCAAAGGGATTTTACGTAGATTTTCTAGCAAAATCCCAGAGGAGCCCCTCCATCTAGATACTCACATGACTAAACTACAATTTATAAATCCCCGTTACAGATTCAAGTTAAAATAATACACCTTATTATGTGAGCAAATATATAAAATAATATCTATTTATACAAAAACTATTTATAAAGGCGAAAGATTTGTTTAACACTCATGAAAGAATAAAACGTAATATAAACTATGCATCTCGATTTTGTGCAAAAAAGATGCTTTGAAGTTGATTTCGGAAACAATTACTTTACAATTTAGTTTAGCCAAAAGCTTCAGGATGCCATCATTAACAGCGCTAAGAAATATCCTAAGTGACAACAAGAAAAAGATCTTAATTATGATGTTAGAAACACAACTGTCGTACAATGTCATAGATTTTAAGATACTTCTCAATAGTTCAATGTAGAAGAAAATTCCCGAAATAAAAATGAAGGCCTTTATTTCTTCCTTCAAATTACTGAGAAATTCCATTTTGATTAAAGGGACTCCACTTAGATTTTCTTTTTAATGATGGGACTGAAAATATTTTTTCAAGATAATGTACCGTTTGATATAGGTTTAGACCACTTATCGTTTTGCAAAACTTCAGATCATTCGCGCAATTCGTTTTTCCAGAATAATTATTCAAATTTCAAAAAAGGATGACCAATAATGAAAAGCGTTCAAACAATTTTCACTCAAATCGAGCTTAGAAAAGCATTAAAATACGATTTTCAAGTTATTTCAAAATATATTTCTTAACTATCTTTGCATATATTTCTTTTTAAAGTGCCCAAGGTCATCCATCAAAGAAATCCAAATGTTTAAACCTCAGTGGAGTCTGCTTAAAAAATCTCGTTTTTATATAAACGAAACCCAAAGAACAAAATTAAAATGCCTTAATCCTACATGTTTTTGTACAATTGGAAGTATATCAGAACTGATAGAAGCAGGATAACTTTCAAAATGAATATTTACATAATATTTTGATCATAATAATGACACCTGATTGAGTAGAGATTTATTTTCATTTGACTTACACTAGAAAATTTAAAATGACTCACACAAATGGTAACAGGAACTTCATCTTTTCCATTCATATCAAAATATCAAAGGTGCTACCACGGATTTTAGCGATACTACAAAATTTTGTTGTTGTTGTTGTTAATTCTATCAAATTTTAACTGAAATGCCTTATGGAAGTAATGATTATTGATATCAACTTGGACATTCTTGTACTTGTTTTGTACATAAGTAATTCAGCCAAAGGTGACAAAAAACGGCTTTCATAAAGAACTGCAGTCAATCATCAGTGGGTTTCTTCCCTCGATGTAACCTTAGAAATTGTAGCAAAATCTTCTACCTGCCTGTATGTAAAATGTTCAGTTGGAGTGAGACTAAAAGCACTACACTACAATATCGTATTCCGGTATATACCGGACAAGGCGCTTGACTGATTAAATGCTAAAATTTTGCCTTTACACCTGTCTTCCGAAATGCATTTTAAAACGTCTAATTCATCTTTTAACACCGATCCGCTCCAATGAAATAAGTTAAATCCGTTCAGTTTTGAAATGGTAAGATGCTGCAACCAGTTAGGAAAAAAATGGTGTTCTTTGTTAAACTTTCAACCAAAATTTTCGTTATCCTCACCATCTCTTGAGTACACATGCATGTACTTAGTTATTGCGGCAATATTAGCGTCAAATTAACGTTACGTGCATTTTAATATGTTATTGTGTTGACGTCATTATATACGAGTAAGTTGACATCCAATTATAAGTAATCAACCAACGTTATGTTGAATATATAGCGCACTCTTTATTATTCTAACACTATCGGAAATTTTTCTATATAAACAAAGAAGGTCCGAAGCGTGCATTATTCTACAACAATGCACTCGCCGTTCTTATTATTCCCCTGTGTATTTTCACATTGAGGGCGCTATGTTGTTTGAAAAATCTGATAAATAAAAACATTTGTAGTCGAATTTTGT